AAAAAAAATAAGGCACTGAAGGCTAACCGACGGAGCAGCAAGCTATTAGGAAGGCTAATGGAATGTTAGTCTTCATTGCAACAGGATTTGTGTACATGTGTAGCGAAGTCTTGCTTCAATTGTATCGGAGCTTGGTTAGACTGCAGCTTTGGTCTCCTTTCCTTCTCAGAAAGATATTATTGCCAGAGACAGAGTCAACCACAATTCACCAGACTTGTTCCTGGGATGGTGGCTTTGTCCTCTGAAGAGACATTGGTCAAGCTGGGTATGGGATCTTTTAAGTTTCAAAGAATGAGAGGTGATCCCATTGAAACTTAGAAAATACTGAAAGGGATAGACAGGGCTGATGCAGGGAAGGTGTTGGGAATTCGAGAACTGGGGACACAATACAAAAATACAGACGGTGCCACTGAGGAATGAGATGAGGAGAAATGTTTTTACTCAGAGGGTTGTGATCATTTGGAATTCTCTCCCAAGGAGAGCTGTGGAAGCTTAGTCTCCGAGTTTGTTTAAGGTTGAGATTGATGGATTTCTGCTTTCCTGTGCTATACAGTGGAGTCCCAATTTACAAACGTTGGCCTTATGCATGTTCGTAATGATGAACTGCAACCCCAGACAGGGGTGTGATTTTAAACATCCAGCAAACAGACATTTCCTCGTACTTTCAAGCACCTACTTGACATTGTCCTGCATCATGTTCTGACCTGCAGCAGATCAACTTGAGACCGCAGTTGAGAACAGAATCCATTCACAACCTAGGGGCTGCCTACACAGCGTTATGATGATGAGTTGGATAAAAGGCAAAGTGTTTGTTCAGCCATGATCATGTTGAATGTCAGGCTAGGCTCAATGGGCCGAATGGCTGACTCCATTCCTATGTTAACAGTTGGGTTTGTGGCTGGTTATTTACTGCTTTGGATACAATTTCTCATTAGGCCATGGGTTTGGGGCAGACAAATAACTCAGTGAGTTATCTTCTCAACTCCATCAATATCCTCATACAATCACCTCATTACCGGGTTTATATTCCATCTCAGTAGATGCTGTCAAAGACTGCTTTCACAATCTCAGCATCCAGCTTCTCCTTTCATAGATTCTGCTTCAGAGTATACTGCAAATGACTAATTTTAATGGTTTCGAGCATTAAGTTGAGTATCAAGTTTCAGTTTCCACTCATCAAAGCATTAAGTTCTGTGAATCCATTTGAATGATATCCAACCGCTCTCCCTCTGAATAAACTGCCTTCCTTCCCACACAGTATTGTTGGTCAGCAGACTTGTCTCAAGGTCATTGCTGTACGCTGTAATGTGCAGTGACTGAGACTGGAGTCTCCATGTTAGCTGCTGCAGGCAAATTTCAGTCATGTCAATTTCTTTTTCATCTTGTTTTCTATCGTGCCACTGGTGCTTTCTCCAGCAAGCAGTTCTATTCCTTAATGCTGTGGTCCTTTATTCTTTCTGAAATATTGAAAGTTCTTGAAAGAATGTGAAGAAAAATAGGTAGAAAAAAAATTCTTAGTAGCTTGTGATTTAGTTCTTGTTGCAATGCTTTTCATCTTGCTCAAATTCTGCCTCTCAGATACCTCCAGATCCATGGAATTTGTCATTATAAACTGAGTGTTACTTGCTTTTAGTAGGCCATTCCAACTAAATCCAATCTGTAGGTTTCAATTACAGTCCTCCCCACAGTGTCACCATTCCCCTTCGCTGTGACCTCCTGGTGCCTATCAATCCTCCAGCTCTTGCTTCTTATGGATCTCTCTGTTCTTTCACTGCACCAATGTCTCGGTCCAGATCTGAATTCGCTCCTGAAAATGTTCTATCCATTCTCTCAGACCTTCCTGAAGCTCTACTCTTTGAGCGATTTCATCACCTTTCCTGATAAATCATGATGTCTCTCACTGCCACTTCTTTGGTCTCATAATCAGACCTGGGAAGTGTGTGGGACAATCCCCACATCAAAGGTGTTATGTAAATGCAAACTGTTGTTGGGATAATCAAAAGTAGCAACATTGGCTTTTTAAAAAACTTGTAAAAGTTTCCTAAATTCAAAGTTTGGGGAGCGAAAAGTCAAAGTGACCTGAAAGATATTTGTGGATGCTGATAAGAATAAGTACAAAATTGTGGGGGTTTGAATATTTCTGAAAAGGGAGAGTTTGCCTTAACTTTCCATCCTACACTTGTCTGCATCAAACAATAACTACCAATTTCAAATTATTACAAACTTTAAACTGCAGGAGAAAAGGTTGCTGATTGGTTGGGAAATCAACAATATTGCTGTGGAGAGAGAAATGGTGAACATTTGAAATTACACAAAAAAGGTTTGAGAAGGATTAGGAGACAATTTAAGGTAACAGTTTTAAAGAAGGTGTCCGAACAGAGAAACCTGGAGGAGTGTGTGCACTAACCTGAAGGTGCAACACAGGTTAATGAAACATATGGAATCTTGCACCAAATACAAAATCCTTGTGGATACATAGTGGATCTGCTAAATCTGAATAGAACATCAGTCTGGCCCCAACTAGTGCATCTAATTCTTGGCACAACATTCTAGGGAAGATGTGAATGTGTTGGAGATGCTACAGAGGTTCTCTATTTGAATGGTTTGACAGATAAAGGATTACAGGTGAGATTAGACCAGAGAGGTTGAGGTACGTCTTTGAGCAGAGATTGGCTGAATTAGCATGTCGTTGCAGTTGTACAGGACATTGGTGAGGCCACTGTTAGAATTCTGCCTGCAATTTTGGTCGCCCTGCTATAGGAAAGATGTTAAACTTGAGAAGGTGCAGAAAACATTTACAAGGATGTTACCAGGGTTGGAGGGTTTCAGCTATAGGCAGAGGCTGAATAGGCTGGGGCTTTTTCCCCTGGAGCGTCAGAGGTTGAAGGATGACCTTATCGAGGTTTATAACATCATGAGGTGTATGGATAGGGTAAGTAGACAAGGTCTTTTTCCTAGGGTGGGAGAGTCCAACACAAGAGGGGCAAAGGTTTAAGGTGAGAGAGGAAACCTGAGAGGTAACATTTTCACACAGAGGGTGGTGCGTGTATGGAATGAGCTGCCAGAGGAGGTGGTAAAAGCGGGTACAATGACAACATTTAAAAGGCATCTGGATGGGTACATGAATAGGAAGGGTTTAGACGGATATGGGGCAAATGCTGGAAAATGGGACAAGATCAGATTGGGACGTCTGGTCAGTGCAGATGGGTTGGACCGAAGGGTCTGTTTCCATGCTGTATGACTCAATAATGGGCAAATTAGTTTAAACGTGGAAGTGTCAAATTTTGTGAAGTAAAGCAACAAACATATTAAACATCAATGAAAGTAAGTACAAACCGATAAATCATGAAATATGGTGACCAAATTAAGAAACCATGCCACTGTTATCTTTTTCTTCTGCTGACAAAGAGTGAGACTCACTTTCTGTCTGTTTCTAGAGCTGGGTGTTTGTTGGCAGAGAGGGTAAGTTCACGGGCACAATTCCACAGAGCCAGCACGGTGACCCAGGGGATCCTGCTGTTCCTCCCACAGAGCCAGCACGGTGACCCAGGGGATTCTGCTGTTCCTCCCACAGAGCCAGCACGGCGACCCAGGGGATCCTGCTGTTCCTCCCACAGAGCCAGCACGGTGACCCAGGGGATCCTGCTGTTCCTCCCACAGAGCAGGATGGTGACCCAGGGGATCCTGCTGTTCCTCCCATTTAGCCAGCACGGTGACCCAGGGGATCCTGCTGTTCCTCCCACAGAGCAGCACGGTGACCCAGGGGATCCTGCTGTTCCTCCCACAGAGCCAGCACGGTGACCCAGGAGATCCTGCTGTTCCTCCCACAGAGCCAGCACGGTGACCCAGGGGATCCTGCTGTTCCTCCCACAGAGCAGCACGGTGACCCAGGGGATTCTGCTGTTCCTCCCACAGAGCCAGCACGGTGACCCAGGGGATTCTGCTGTTCCTCCCACAGAGCCAGCACGGTGACCCAGGGGATCCTGCTGTTCCTCCCAAAGAGCAGCACGGTGACCCAGGGGATCCAGCTGTTCCTCCCACAGAGCCAGCACGGTGACCCAGGAGATCCTGCTGTTCCTCCCAAAGAGCAGCATGATAGAAACGTTGCTGAGTTATGTTGACCTAAACCATCATGTCCTAATGGCCCTTGATGCTGGAGTTTCTCAGTGAGAGCAATGGGCAGTGGCCATCATACCTGCTTCTGGGTCTCCATGCTGCCTTAAGGGGATGGTTTTGGTTTGTAATGCTAGGCCAGGGGCTGAACTCTGACTGCACAGTGGAACCCTGACACTAACCCCCACACCGGAGACTACAAGCCCCAGAATGCCTCGGGCACACCGAGCATGCGCAGAATATCGGAGCCTGTCGTCAGTTCCGGCGAGGAGAGGCTGACGGCGAGAGGGAGCAAAAGGGAGCCCCCTCCCGGGAAAGGCGTGAGGGAAGTTCGGTGTCCCGGGGAAACGGCATGGGGTGGCAGGGACAGTGAGGAGGGACATCGGGGAACAGGTAGGAGGGAGAAGACGGCGGGAACGGGTTGAGGGGGAGGGGATTGTGGGAGTGGTGGGGAGGGGGATGAGTAATGCGGGGATTTGGTGGAGGGAGGGGTGAGGGTGAGGGGCTTGTGGGAGTGGGGGTGGGGATGGGGGAGGGGGGGTGGGGGGGGAGGGGGAGGAGTAAGGCAGGGATTTGGTGGTGGAGGGAGGGGTGTGAGGATGAGGGTAGGGAGGGGCATGAGGAAATGAGGAAATGGGGATTTGGTATGTAGTGAGATTGAAGGGGTGAGGGTAGGGAGGGGTATGGGATTTGATGTGGGGGAGGGTGAAGGTTAATGATGGCACCTTGAGTTGATTGATTGCTGTTGGTAATGATTGATGACAGTCGATTCTTGGTTCAGAAAAATGAGTCATAACTCAATACTGCAAGATTTATGTCTGAACAGGCATCTGATTAAGGATTGTGTTAAAAATCTGTGTCCACGTTGGGCATTTCACAGGAAGGAGGAAGTTTGGTATTGAAACCTTTCTCCCATCTGAGTTGATAGAGCGATGGTCCAGTGCTAATATCGCTAGATTATTAGTTCAGGAACCCAGCTAATCTTCTGGTCACCTGCATTCGAATTTCACCACAGCATACTATTCGATTTGAGTTTAAAAAATAGGGAATTGAGGTCTAATGATGACCATGAAACTGATTGTCAGGAAATTTAATCTGGTTCTCTAATGTCCTATAGGGAAGAAAACTGCCGACCTTACCTGGTCAAACCTACAGGAGACTCCAGACCCACAACAATGTGGTTGACTCTTAACTGCCCTCTGGGCACTTAGAGATTGGTAATAAATGTGAGCCAGCAAAGCCCACAACAAGTGAATTTTTAAAAAAAAGTTGTCTTTTCACTTGCACTGCTTCTTAGAGACTAAGGAAGAAGCAGCATGCACAAAGCAGTGCTAGGAACTGGATCTTAGGGCAGAGATGATAGTTTCATGCAGAAAACTTTAGATTTCAAGGAGCAGGAACCGAGAGGCTGCGATTGTGTCCAGAGTGGAAGCAAGATACAGTTGTGTCCACTTTTCTTTAGTAGCTACAAGAAAGGATTCATTCTTGACCCAGTGCTAAATGAAAGTGGAACTTATCCTTGTTAATTGATGCTTCAAAATTTTGTAATTGCATATTTGGAAACGGGGAGGTATAATATGCAGTAACAAGGTGTAGAGCTGGATGAACACAGCAGGCCAAGCAGCATCAGAGGAGCACGAAGGC